GAATGGGTGGGTGGGTGGAATATGGACAATTTATTTTTTGTAAAATATATTTAATTAATCAAAGTATGCACCGTTGTTATCTATGCACTTTTGCCATCTCATAGGTAGTTCATTGATCACTTTATTAAAAAAACCATGGGGGCGAGAATCAATAAACTCTTTGAAGGCGGTTTGGACTGCCGCATCGGAGTTGATTTTTTTTCCTTGTAATAAGTTTTCCAAATTCCGGAAAAAATGGTAATCTGTTGAAGCAAGGTCCGGGAAGTACGATGGACGTTGCAGACATTCCAATTGTAGCTCATCTAACTTACTGGTTGTTTGTTGTGCAGTGTGTGGTCTCGCGTTGTCGTGAAGCAGCAGTGGCCTAGAGCGATTGACCAATCTCGGTTGTCTAGCAGCTAGTTCTTCCTTCATGGTTTGCAGTTGCTGACAATCGATATCTGCCGTAATCGTTTGGCCAGATTTTAGAAAGCTGTAGTGAATGACACCGGCGTTACTCCCCAAAACACTCACAAGTAACTTTTTCTGAGTCAATTTTCGTTTAGGGCAGGATTTGTATGGGCCTCCAGGGTTCAGCTATTGCGACGAGCGCTTCCGATTATCGATATATACTTTTCATCACAAGTAATGATTTGATTTAAAATCCCTTTATTATTGTCTCGGTTGAGCAAAGTAACACAGCAGTCGACGCGTGTTTGCAAGTTCGATTCACTCAATTCATGAGGTACCCATCGTTCAAGTTTTTTTTTACTTTCCCGATTTGCTTCAAGTGGATTAATACAGTTTTATCACTTACCCCGAAGCCTGCAGCTATCTCTGAAGTGCTTTGTGGTGGATCCGCTTTCAAAATAGCCTTTAATTCTTCATTTTCCACTTTGGTCTCCGGCCGTTCACGGGGTTGGTTCTGAAGGTCGAAATTTCCAGAACGAAAACGTTGAAACCAAAAACGTACCGTGCTTTCTTTTGCGACACCAGCGCCGTACACATCATTAATCCTTCGAACTGTTTCCGCAGCACTGGTGCCACGGTAAAACTCGTACTCGTAAATATACCGATATTTCATGTTTTCCATTGTGCGGTAATAAGCGACGCCAAAGAAAAAAATAATGAGGAAAAAGCAAATGAATGACTGTTTTCAAAATTAAAATGTACCATTTTAATGAATTTATAAATTTGAATTTGGAATTCTTAACCAAAGAGGAGATATTTCAGATCAAAGTGGTCAGTACGACAAAACGCTAATTTAGACAGGTAGAATTGGCTTTTTGGTCCAGAAAATTCCTATAGGAACGGATTTTTTTCAACTACCTATCAGGAATTGATTGCACTAAAAATTTTAACAAAATATTTTCAGCTAACGTGTTAAAAAAATGCCAAAAATGACAAAAACTAGTTTTTCTCATCTGGAGCGAAAACTAAAGCTCTTATATAAATAAGTTGAATGTAACAAATGTGTTCAATAAAAAAGCAAAGAGAAAAACGATTTTGTTCTCCAGAGGTTTACCATCAGATTGCCCGAAATTTGTAAAAAAAACACGTTTTTTCGAGATCCTATTATTTTAAACTACGTTACAAACACACTACTCTACATATCCAACATCTGAACAGCAACAGTTGTTAGGTAAATTTTGTAAGTGGTATTAGCAGCGTATGATTGCGTTATATTTTACACATGCAATAGAGGACGGACATGAATAAGGTATATTAAATCATTGGTTTAGGCAACAGTTAAGGGTGATGTACCTCGAAAATGACCACCAAGGGGTAATGTATCCTTATAAACACTACTAATTTAAAGGTGTTCGCATGTTAATCATTCCAATCACCCCAGCAGCTCCAGCAACTCACTCATCAGAGCCATCAGTCAAATCGTATGTGTATCGGGTAACCGGTTCGTACCCAGACTGATGTAAAAAGTTGTCAGCTTTAGTCGTTAAGAGATACTGCTGGCTCAATTCTTACATAGTTCTTTGAAAGAAAATTATGTGTAGACATGAAGAACTACCAAGAAGCATACAGTTGTTTAGGGGTTCGGGTTCTATCAACAGAACTTTAAAGTTACTCATAGAACGGAAAGAACAAAAATGTGCATTGCCGATTTTATAACTGTCCATAATGAACTGCGAAGAGGTTAGAAAGCCAAGGATACTTACTAATTAATATAAACTTTAAAATTAATACCTGCTTTTAGGCCAATTAATTTTTTATTTAATAATTGAGGTCGTCTAAATTCTTAAAAACAAGAACTTATTTAAATCTTTTTTTTTCATTGTAATACCTAATATTTTTATGTCTTTTTTACAATAGTATTCAATTCAGTGAACACTCGGTATCTTAATTTTTTTATATAATAGGTACTTAGTTTGACAAAGTGTACTGTTTAAAATCCGTTGGTATTATATTATCATCGTATTTTTCTCTGTCAAAGTTTCTAACTAACTGGACAACTTTGACAGCATTTAGTTTGCTTTGTTCTCAAACCAACGTTCACTTATTACGTGATTCTTTTGTTCTCAAATGCATAATATATCAATGAATAAGCAAAAAGTGTCAAAATTGTTGTCACTATGTCACAATTTTCTACATTTGCAAGCACATATTAAAGCCATTATAGTTCTTTGAAACAATGAGAGCGTGAAATGCGCTGCGTCTTTACTTACAAACTCGTGTGGTATAACAACCTTTGATGCACACAGAGTAATAAGTGAGAGTACATTTTGGAGTCAACAACAGCAACATTTTTGACTGAACAATAATGTTTATCCATAATAATACGAAAATAAAATACAAAAATAATTACCTACATACTTTTCTTTTTTATAATTTATAGTGTTTCAACGTTAAACAATTGCATGGTTTGCCATTTGTTTACCGACATTTGCCTATCATTTGACGATCGTCTGTATTTCTCATTATCTTAGGAAGTGTATTAGGTGCGAGTGTGTGTGTGTCTAACATACCCCTTGTAGGTATGTAACCACACAATTGCTAGTGCATTTTCGCTATTCATAGTCTCATAAGAAAACTACCTATGACAGTTAATCATATAATTTCTCGTGATATGACCTTTTCTTACTCTGATTTACAATATTTTTTGTGACAAAAGACAAATTAATATAAATGTACAAAGTTTTAGTAAAGAAACAAACGAATGAAATACCACCTACCTACAAAAACATGACACCCCTTTTTAAGCTATTGCATAGCTTCTATCGCGGGCCTTGAGCGTGGAGACCGAATCCAGAAATTCCGTAACGAAAATAACCTAACACACCCCACGTGATACTTTTTAGTTTTGCCATCTATCGATGAATAGCAGAACTTTTAATGACTTTTGAAATATCACGCTTGTCTCTTTAGTTCAGCAACTCGCCTCTAGGTGGCATTGGTTGTATCGGCGTTACTGCGCATGCGTAATCTTCGCCCCGCAATCTAATAAATATCAAAGAAAAAAAATACTGCATAAATAAAATAAATAAATAATTATAATTGCATAAGTTAATAAAAAATGCTATGCAATAGCTTTACCGCGGCAGTCCCCGTGTGCCACACGTCTTTTTTTTTGTTTCCGTGTGGAATTCCCCTCGGATACCACCTATCGATGGCATTTTTTTTTTGTTGGGACTAATCCCACCCACACGCCCACCACTGTAACTCCTGTACACCAGGATCCACAGCAGTGACCCACGAACACACCGAGTTATGACACTCGGGAAGTCCCAGGAAGAAATTAAACTGTCTTGGAACCCGCAACGAAATTAATCAGAAGAAAATTGGAGGAGTTGGAAATACAGTAAATCCACTTCCCTCCTTAGCAAATGGCTATCGATGGCATGTCGGACTCGAACCGACTAACCCTAGAAAGGAAGTCCCTGGTGCCCCGACATACCTCGGGCCATCTACAGACGAGTAGACGACCCCCCCCCTCCCCCGTGTGGGACATAAGTCACCCCTAGTCATAACTATATTGCTAAAATATGTCTTACATAATATTAGGTCTTTACCTATGAAGTTAGAAATTTGTATGGAATTTTGGTTATTTTTTAATTTTAGCTAACAACAGCACTGGCCCAAATTATCTATACAATTTTAACATTTTGAGGGCAGTTTGGCACTAACCCTAAAGCCCGCAGCATGCTCAGCCGTAGATTGAGTTGGATCCACTATCGGCGATAGAAAATAATAACAATAATCGGCGGTAGCCTAGTGGTTAAGGCATTGAACTTGCGATTTAGAAGTCGTGGGTACCGACATGAACCCACTCCTAACACAAGTAAGTCAATACTAGTAAATTCGGTAGCTAGTAAGCCTTTATAAGAAAAAAAAAGAAATTCGTTGTTGTCGATTATAGTTATAGGTTATAGTTAGATTATAGTTAGGCTCGTAAAAGACAATGCCAGGCATATATGGGACTTTTGTACCGCCTTGCGTATCTCATGGTAGGGACAATTGTTGTATTTATTTGGCTGGTCACATTAATATCATCGAAAATTACAGTTTTAATTTTCAGATATTTAGAACTATGTGTTCAAGAGTTATTTCGCAGTAAATCGTAATACATAGATGATTACAGGCATTTTAATTTTCCATCATCATCATCACCATCATCATCATAATCATTCATCTACACATCTCAAAGGCACACTGCACAAATATGGTCAAGTTTAAATACAAACTTGACCATATTTGTGCAGTGTGCCTTTTTGTGCACTTTGCTTAGTGCAGTCTTTTGTTTTAGTAGGTAATTTAAATGGACTCGGTAACGGTATCTAATGATTATATTAGTAAACAGTAATGCCCAATTAATACCTAATATTATAAATATTACATACATTATATCATATACATAGTTTTTGTGTTGTGAAATATTATAAACTAGGTAGTATTACTATTGAGTTATAGTTTTAAACCTACATTTATATGTCATAATAGGCTGCATTTGACTTAATTCCCAAGGTTTGGTACATCTTGTAAAATCTAAATATGTTAAATTGTTTCAGTATGCAGAAGTCAAGACGTCCCCACAAAAGATAAGAAACCACAATCTGTAAAGGATCTTCTCAACACAACGTCTTGCATAACTCCACCATACAGATGTCCACATCCCAAAATCCAATACTACTTGTACACTAGGTACGTATTTCTACTTCTACTTATAGTACTTCTAGGCATAAATCAATCAGTCTTTGTAGTCCTCCCACTGAATAAGTATATGTCTCTCTCAATGTGTGATATAGGTTATTTTGCATATCACAGGTAAGGGTAGGTAGGGCAGGTAGGTAAGAATACCCACAAAATGTATTTAACACTTAAAATCATAGTGTTACTGAAAACGTTGAAGTATTACTAGAAATAAGCTGTATAAACGTGCCGCCTCTGTTTTTATTGTTGCTGGATATTACAATGAATAATATATTTTAGAAATGTATTATACCATAATATACTTCTTATATTTACACAATATTACAGTCTGAAAAATAGTTTTTTAAGCATAAAGATATATTATTGTTGTATTAACTTTCTGTTTTCAAAATTCAAACCTTTCAAAGTTTTGAAAATTCGAACAACATTAAACTAGACGAAATATTTGGTACTTAAGTTTATATTGGGAGGATACATAGGGTATACCTTAGATCAACACAGAAATATTAAAACTTATGACATTTTGACACGTGAGTATAGCCAAGGACAAGTTTTGTACTTATATATAAAGTTAACTATCCCATATCACTATATATTTTAACACAATGTCGCGTACTCAGTGACGCGCTTATATAATTAGTACTACTAGTATATTCAATGACTATATACAATGACAAGTTAGGTATATGACCAGTGAAATAAACTAAATTGCAATGAAATTCGACACCGTTACCGATATTTTACGCAAATAATCATCCCAACATTAGGTAAGTTTAATATTTTAGGTAATGTTGATTTCTTTTTTTTAGGTCCACGCAAGAAAAGGGTGAATTATTGAATACTTTAAACGACAATTCCTTGTCTTATTCCAAGTTTAATCCCAAACATCCGACAAAGATCATCGTGCATGGGTTTGCTGGTGGCAGGAACCAGTCGCCGAGCACCGACCTGAGGAAAGCTTACTTTACGAGAGGCAATTATAACATTATTATTGTGGACTATGCGGACATCGCCAAAGAGCCTTGTCTTAGCCAGGTATGTATTGCCAAAAACCTCACAGATAAATGAGTAAAACGGTGTACTTGGGTCATTAGTGCACTTATAATAAGTCGCTTAGTGTTCACTTTTAACAATTCTCTGAGAACATTTGAATTTTGATACCACATATCGCAGTCCCCGACGAACACTATGGTAATCGCTATTACGATAGAATCGGGTTTATTCAATATTCGTTATCTACACACCCTATTACAATCATTGATTTTTTTTTATAATCGGGCGATGAATACTTTTGGATTTATGGCTTCAATAATGATCTTTATGTTTTTGTTCAACGTATAACATAAGTGAAAAATTTACACGATCAATAACGCAAAAACCTATTACCAAATCTCAAAAGTCAACATTTTAGAGTAAGCGGCTATTACCATATTGTTCGAGGGAAAAATGACAGAATCTTATTAGTGGCAAGAGTTGGTTAAACTACACCCAAGGCCGAAAAATTCAGTGGATTGATGGAGAAATTGATGGAGGTGAGAGTTTCTCATTTGAAACCAACAATTTTATAGTATAAGTATGACTTCGACAATGATTCTTTCGAGTTCGATACAAAACTTCAACTAAACAAACCCAAACGAGGACAGAAACCCGTCCCTGGCCAGGTTGATGTAAAAACACTCAAAAATGTTTACAGCCACCCTTTACCTATCACCAAGGCTCTGTTTGCTGACCTGAAGTCTTTGTGTGAAAGTGAGGCCATCCCTAAACGTTATCACAGTTTTTATAGTAATTTAAATTATGCAGATCTCAATATTATACCTGAACAACAACAAGAAGATATAGATAAAAATTAAATTCAGTAATTTTTGTTTTAATTTTTGTTTCATAATATTATAATAAAAATTGATAATTTTTGTGTTTAATTTGTCGCCATTAAATAGTAAATTTATAATCAATTAGCGTGTGCCCGCGACTTCGTCCGCATGGAATAGTGACTTTGGGTACCATTTGAGTGAATCCCAAGCAATGACGATACTTTCATACAACATTTCAACCCCTATTTCGACCCCTTACAACCCTTTTTTGCATTTAAAAGTAGTATATGTCCTTCCTCAGGCTCTAGGGTATCTGTGTACTAATTTAATGTAAATCGGTTCAGTACTTTTAGCGTGAAAGCTACACACACAGACAGAGTTACTTTCGCATTTATAATATTAGTAAGGATTGTATGTCTTGCCCAATTGAAAACTCGCTAGATGTAAATCAAACACTGCTCTAATGCATAACAGTGTTTTCGCCATGGCTCCAAAAATATATAATAAATTACCTAGGAATATAAAGGAGTCAAATCCGACTATCTTTAAACAGACATTAAAAAAAATTCTGAGCCAAAAATGCTATTATAATGTAAATGATTTTCTGCAAGACAAATTGTAAATCAAATTAATTTCGTTCATTGTTATTTAATTTATGTTTAACATGACAATGTGACATTTTTTTTTATTTTTATTATTTTGACTATTTGATTATTATTGTTGTTTTTTTTTTTTTTTTTTTTTTTGGTTTTATTATATTGATCTGACTTAATAGCATTCATAATACTCTTGACATTATTAATTCTCTGAATAAATTATAAATTTATGATATGAATATATTCTTCAAATTGTGTTTGTAATGTTGAGCGTCTAAATAATAATCTTTTAAATATCTATGACTAAATATTTGCACACCTTTAAGAGGTTATATTACAGCGTACCTATGTATTATATGATGTTCTTCTACCACCTTTATACCTGTTTTATGCAAATAATAAATGATTTTGATTTGATTTTTTTGATTTTGATTTTGATTATAAGCTGACAATATTTAGGTTCAATTTACAGTGCTACAAATAACCCTGTAAAATTAATACAATATGCATCAAAACATAAATAGATAAATAATGTCAAATTTAAAGTAATACACATAAAAACTTTATTTATACATAGGTACCGAAATAGTTAATTTTGCTGCTTACCTTTCATAACACCTAAAAATGATCCTCAAATAAGCATGTAATTTATGTTTACCGTAATATTAAAGTCAGTTATATCATCGAATACGATTGCAATGTCATTTTACGAATAGAAAGTATATCCACCCTTTTTAGTATTTACTATGGAACAATATCATAATGAACGATTACTACAGTAACACCGATTTGTGATTACAGTCGAACACTATCGTAAAGTTAGTTTGCGTTAATTTTTTCCATAGCTTATTTCAGTAATGGACATTTTCACAATTTTCTTACTGATAAAGAAAATTTATGATAAAAATTTAGTAAAAATCTAGTGCAAAAAAATATTCCCTATTTTTGATAAAAAAATCTTCTTTTTAGTCTTGATAGAATTCAAGATATTTAGTTTTTATTTGCTCCTGTAAAATTGTAATTTTCCTATTACGATTTTGTTCGTCGGGGACTGCGATATCCAGAAAAAAGTTGGTCAAGTAGAAATAATAAACCTGAATTGTGTGATATTCTAATTCAATTCATTTTTGAGATTACTTATAAATGTTGGCATGATTATTTACGTTAAATGTCTAAATATATTAAGGTATTAAATAGCTTAATAATATTATGTAATATAGGATGTCATTCTTGGAAGGTTCGAGAATGACCATGAGGTTAATTAAGCAACTCAAGCAAAACTTAAAATGGGTAAACCTACTTTTACTGCGCTCTTGTTATTTGCGTAACTATAAAAAAATACAATATTACGGTCCTAGATATAAATAAAAAGTTTATTGTTTAAAGAATTAAAACCGAAGTTACAATGAGTTCCTATAGTACATCCTCAACTAAAATAAGATTAAAATGTAAATTTAGATTTCACGACGATAATTTTTTTTATCAATCAATAGGCTAGTTGACTCAATTTGAAACTTGGTTAATTATATGCTTTAATATCTATTTTATCACTGAAAACCTATATTTTAAAGAAAAGCAATATTTACATTACGTATTTTGTATTTAAAGAAAACAATTTAAATTTCCTTCGAAAACGCTGAATAGTTTTTTCTTATCTATGTCTCTTCATTTATAATTTGAAACTATAAACAAATCAATTTGTTATTAGTGGATACAAGCCTATTATACATATACTTATATATAAGTAAGTAGAATGTATTGATGGCTTAATTCATAAAAGAAAAGCGACGGCATAACTAAATACATGTTTTTTGTAGTAGTAGTAAGTTTTTTTTATTAATTTACACAATTAATTACCTCTATTTATATTTATTTTCCTTTGGGTTGAGATGATGATAAAAATAACGATACCTTAAAAAGAACGAACTTTATAGTAAGCTGCTAGAGTAGGTACCTAGTAGTTAGGGTTTATACCAGTTGCCTAATGTTAATGACTGTCGCCTATTTTTACTGTTGCACTATAATAGTAACTAAGAGCCTCATTCTAGAACCAATTATCTTAAATGGCATTGTAGTAACTTATTCATAGTAGGTTAGTGTTACGAAATGATATTAAAATGAACTCAATTTATCTGATATGCTATGGATGTGTCATCTGTTAAGACGACTTAGGACACCGTCGTTACCATAGTCAATTCTTGCATAACTTAAACTACTTTAAACATAATTTATGCAATACCTACATTTTCTTGCAGAATCTAAACCTACTTTGTTGTAATGCATTTATCATGATGCGGGCCATGACTTTATGCTTAATGTACTAATAACACTGTTTATAGCTCTATAAATTTGTCGTCTGCAGTCGCTTTGGATAAAATACAGTTGATAAGTTGCATGAGCTGTAAAATATTACAACAACACTAATATAGGGTAGAAAACCTGTCAATGTACTTTAACGGCTATTAAGTATGAATGACGTTATTACGTTAAAACATTTAATTTAATAACCTACTTGTATTTAGTTAACATTAATTCTGCAAGACGAACAATATCAAAAATAAGAAGGTTTTTATTGTTTTAACACGTTTCGTAGCAATTATAAAATGCATGTGTTACCGGCAATCTGTATAATTCAGGTAATGTATAGAATACCTAAGGCGTCTAGCCAATGTATGAAATATTATGAATATTATTTTTCATAATATACTTCACCTAGGTAATGTATACAATTCCTAAGTATTGTATAAAGTACCTGTTGATCCACAATGTGTAAAATGACTATATTTGGGCCTGTATTTATTAATGTTATGTACGTAAGTACTGGAGGATTGTCCGTGTGGTGACGGATTAAGAATACAAATTGTCACCACCCCAATTCATCCCGTGGGTGTCGTAAGAGCCGACTAAGGGAGCAAACTAAGCAGGACAACAGCACTGCAAAGAGAAGGAAAACTTGAAACAAACCCTTTTTTTTTTTTTTTTTTTTTTAACGTGTGGAAATCCCCTCGGACCGTCACCCCACCAGGGTTTGCGGCGGGGTGGTGTGTCGGACTCGGACCGACTAAAACCACACGGTGTGCCACTCTGCGCCTGTAACAGGAGGGATCCGGGAACAGCTGTTGTTAAGACATCCGGACCCCTCCTAGCGCCTCCGTCTCAATGTAGATGTTCCTCTCTTTAGGCGACGTCCGGCACACGCGGACGCCGCCCCCTCGCGGCTGGCCAACTAATGCGGGTGGAGGGGAAACCCACCCCGTCCACCCGCGGCCACACTCAGGGCGGCATGAGGCTGTGGTAGGCGGGCCTCCGCCGCCCGGTTCGCCGGCGGCGGATCGGGTCCGAGTGGAGGTCGTCCTCCCGGGCCCTCTCCGCCGCCTCCTTCCGCGAGATTACTACCTCGCAGAAGGTTGCGACCGCGGTAAAACAACTGTCGCTACCGGCCATGGAGCGTACTACGGCCGGTAGCGAGAGATCCACTCCGATGACTGCAGTGAGGGCCCGGCGCTGCACCGCCCATGCAGGGCAGACCGCCAGCGTGTGCTGGGCCGAGTCCTCACTGCAGTCGCAGTGGTGGCAGGCGGGACTCAGTTCCCTCCTAGCGACCGTGTGCAGGTACTTTCCGAAGCAACCGTGCCCGGAAAGCACCTGCGTCAGCCGGAAGGAAAGGGTCCCGTGCTGCCGCCCTGCCCACTCGGCGATGACCGGCTGGAGAGCCTCCACGGCGGCGAAGCCAGCGCGTGGAGTCTCCAGCCGGAACGACCAACGAGCCATCGTGGCTCGGCGAGCGGCTTCGCGCCACTCGCGCACATCCTCAGGCGGAGGGCGAAATCCGCTCTCCGCCCGGTAGTCAGCCACTCGCCGATAAACTTCGGCGAGCACTTCCGCCTCCAAATCCCACGAGGGAGTTCCGGCCAACGCGCACGCCACATCCGTCGAAACGGTGCGGTAACCGCGTATGGCTCTGACCGCCATTACCCTCTGAGGGCGCCAGAGGCGTACCCTATTCTGGGCGGTCAGAGCCGCCGCCCACACCGGTGCACCGTACAGTGCCATTGACCGGACAACCCCCGTGTACAGCCGTCTTGTCGCGACGCTGGGTCCACCCATATTGGGCAAAAGTCGCCCTAGCTTTGGAGCAAGCTGTCGGAAGTGCTCGTCGAAGAGCCACCTCCCGTCGAGGATCAGGCCCAGATATTTCATCTGGGCCCGAACCGGTACGAGGACCGAGTTGACCACGATTGAGGCGCCAGGGGGTGGACCACGACGGGGCCCATGGAATAACAGGGCCTCCGTCTTATCTAGGGCCACCCGTAAGCCCAGCGCCTCAATGCGCCCGACCACCAGGGAGACTCCCCCTGTGGCCAGGCGCGCCGCCTCTTGGAAGTTTGCCCCCCGGGCTGTCACGAGGGTATCGTCTGCGTAACAGATTACACCCAGCCCGGGGGGGAAATCGGCGCGAAGGGCCCAGTCGTACCCTATGTTCCACAAGAGGGGTCCAAGAACAGACCCCTGTGGAACACCGCACGACATGGGCCGACACCTCAGATTACCTTCTCGGTCCTCGTACACGACGGTACGCTCCTCTAAATAGTCTGCCACTAGCTGCCTCAGGTACTTTGGCACCCCATGATAGTGGAGTGCTTCCCTGATGCAGCTGAATGGCAGACTATTGAATGCGTTGGCGATGTCCAATGACACCGCCAACAGCACGCCGCCACAGCTCACGGCCTCTTCGGTCACGGCCCTCAGGCGCAACACGGCGTCGACTGTCGAACGCCCCGCCCGAAAACCAAATTGGGCGTCCGACAGATCGGGGCCCACCTCGCAGAGGTGCCGGACGATGCGGGCAGAAAGAACCCTCTCAAACAATTTGCCCGCCTCGTCCAGCAGCACGATGGGCCTATAGGCCGCGACCGAATCGGCAGGCCGTCCCGGCTTCCTCAATAGGACCAGCTTCCCGCTCTTCCAGCACTCAGGGAAGCGTCCCGACGCCAAGCTAGCGTCGAACACCTCCCCGAGGCGGTCTGTCATGTGGTTGAGGGCCAGGGCCAGCACTCGGGCCGGTACCCCGTCTGGCCCAGGGGCGGTGTTCTTGGAACGGATCCGTAGAACAGCCGCCCCTACCTCCGATTCCCGGACGGGCGGAACATTGTCCTCCCCGTGCTCCCCGTCGTCTCCGGCCAAGGAGGCCATCGACGGGGGAGTGTGTTCCGCCCGTTGTGGGAAAAGGCCCTCAACCACTTCTCGCAGGAAGAAAAACAAACCCTATACCAACCCGTCTGGCCAGCGTGGTATAGTAGGCCAAAACCTCCTTTCTAAGGAGAGGCCTATGTCCAGCAGTGGACTAGTATAGGCTGTTGATGATGATGACGTAAGTAAGTAGGAGGGTATAAAATGACAGACAAAATTATACATTAGATTTGCTTAAAAATAACTTTATTAAAATTAACAATTAGTTAGTTCTGATTAAAAACAATATTTATGCAAAGGTAAAATTTATAGTAAATTACAATAACAAACACAACATAAATAAAATAAAATCAAACAAAATCATAACAACAAAATAAAATCATAATCAAAAACAACATTGAACTTAAAATTCTTCTGGGTTAACTAAAACATAATCTAATTTACTCATAAGTAATCAGTTAAAAAACTTAGGCAACAAAACAATTCTGTAAAAATAGGAAGTGATCTACTGGCCTCGCAGAATTAAGTAAGTAAAAAAATATTGTTTATTTTTACATGAAGAACTATTGTGACATTTTGAAGTGCATAAAATCTTTCTATTAAAACATGAACAAGTCGCAACGCGTTTACTGCCTGCCCACACTCTCATTTCCCTGCTATCGTCTTTTACACACATTGCCGGCAGCGCATTTCGGCAAAGTATAAAATGAAAAATATTTCATACATTGCCTAGACGCCTTAGGTATTCTAAGCCTAGGTATGGTATAGAATACCGTATTATGCAGATTGCCGGTAACACATATAAATAAATATGATCGATCGACTATTCTGATATATTAAGAATATAATTGAAATTCTGAACTATATAACACAAAGTCATATATAGTTATATATAGATACAACAACCTTTTTTTTTCTGTGCGGAACTTCCCTCGGATACCACCCACCAGTGGGTGATTATGTCGGACTCGAACCGACCAAAAACCGCACGCCGTCTCCAGGTACCAGTAGCCCGGGAACCAGGTATACCCTAGAAAGGAAAGCCCTAGTACCCCGACGTACCTCAGGCCATCTACGGCTTATAGATGACCCCTTCTGTGCTGGAACCCGGATGTTCCCTTCCTGCTCAGAAGGGCGCGCGCGCTCCGTAGCGCGTCGCGCCATTACCCACCCTGGCCTGCTTCTGCTAGAGTGATAGATTGCCTCACCTGTCATCCTCAGGCCTGCGCTTATAGAGGACGGAGGTCGGTCTGCGACCTCCGGCGCCCGAGCCATATTACTGCAAAGTAATGCTTGATAATTTCATGGAACAAGAACAGTACATTTATTATGTCTAAATCTTTTCAGATAGAGTGGGCGCCTCGTTTTGGCGGACTGTGTATAGCACAGTTGATAGAATATATCCAGTATCACCCCACAAAGTCAGTGCCACCAGAGAAAATGCATACCATTGGCTATAGTGTTGGTGCTCACATTCTCGGACTTGCAGCCAACTATATATCTGAAGGCAAACTTGGCAGAATCACAGGTATCATATATGTACAGACTATATATGATAGGTATATGGTTTTATTTTATATTATTTTAAAGCTGATTTCGAATACTTCCTGATAAAACAAAACAGTTCGCATAATTGTTTAAAATATGCGTAAAAGGATTGCGTGATTGGATGACATTGAACGTTTTATTTTAAACAATCTGTAGGTATTTTTCCGTCGTGTTTTTATTTTTTATAATACATCCTTGCTCTTCGATAACTTTAGTTTGACATCGTTCTAAATTTACTGGATATCTGCTTGATTCTCTAAGCTTTTAATAAAATTATTATACTTAGGTACCAAGAGTCTCTCTGTGAAAAGTGTGTAGTAAGTACATACTTGGATATCACGCATCGAAAAGTAATAAGACATTGTTCAATTATTTTTTTTATATTTGTTGTCATTAGGTCTGGACCCAACAATATTTTTCTACATGGGTAATAACAGATCCCGTGACCTCGATTACACCGACGCCCATTTTGTGGATATCTTGCATACAGGCGCAGGAATATTGGGTCAATGGGGGCCTAATGGCCATGCCGACTTCTACGTCAATGGGGGCTCCAGTCAACCCGGATGTGCTCACGACACTATATTTCGTAAGGATTCCTACTTTGTGTATTATCACAGTGCGCTACTTTTATTTACGATACTGCATTCTCTTGCCTATGTAAGAACTACCAAGTCTGCAATTACTTAACTTGCTGCTTTAGTCCTTGTCTAAATTTATAGGTGGCGCTGTAATAAAATTTGATTAAATTAACAAAATAATTTAAATTTTAATGAATTAATGGTATTACTTACTTATCTTGAAATGTTTAAATTACATTTTAGTACATAATACCGTAGATTACGTAGTTCTTAAAATAAGCAAACTTTTAAAGAAAAGCTATTAACTAAAACAGCATTATGCAGTACGGTGTCGTGATAAGTACTGACTACAATTGATAATATTTAAAAACTGTCCCAATAGTTTCGTTTGTATTTTGCAGATGGCTCTGTCATCTAACATTTAACTTAAGTCCATACCTGTTGGCAGATTATAAAGTTGATATGTCCTCCAGGTCCCTTGTTTATATTTATATGCGATCTTTATTCTTAGAAACTTTATCCTGCGACCACACAAAAGTGACACCATACTTCATCGAGTCGATCAACAGTCGCACAGGCTTTTGGGCAGGCCCCTGTTCTAGTTTACTCTCTTACCTCATAGGGTGGTGCGAACCTAAAGACACGGAGTTTGTACTAATGGGCGAACATGTGACGCATAAGTAAGTATATCATTTCGTTAAATACGCACATTTCATGGTGATTAAATGACTTTAGTAAAGTACTTGTGTTATTTTGCATATTTCGGGCATTTTTTCACACTTTAATGGTAGGTACCAGTTATTTATTTAGCTTGCTCACCTGGTACTAGTCTCCAATTTGTAGGTACTTACAATATGTATTTTCTACTTTATATATCGGAACCTTGAAAGTATGGAAAAGCCGTTTATATATTTTGCTGTAGCATTATTAAAATTTCTTGAACTCTAGAATTAAATATAATGTGTGTCATCATCCATAAGGTTTTCACCTTTTGGTTTAGACAGTCAGAATGTCAGATGTAATTTAATTCCATATATGTTTGCGTTTCAGTGCCAGAGGTGTATATTACGTCACTACCAATGCTAAACCACCTTACGCAAGAGGCTTCCCCGGAAAATCAAGACGCCTCAGATCTGTTTCACCTTATAGCTGATAGGATGACATTAAGTTATTTAGATATATAAATGTTACCAAAATAATAATAAGCAAGGACATAGTTATATTCTAACTTATGGGGTTTTAGAATAGTGTTATTGTACCATAAAGAACAACGTGGAGAAGAAGACAGTGATACCATGAATTTCAAACATATTCAGGAGTAGTTAAGAAGAGGTATGAGTTTACTGTCGCCGTAGACCATACGATCGGAATGATCAACAGGTATCACATCGAAACAAAAGACTTTAGCTTAATTTATAATACTGGTGTATAGTTCAATTTTGGTGTCGCCAAACTATACTTAAGATAAATATAAAAACACCTCAGAAAACCTAAACATTTTATCTTTTATTTTCTATTTATCTAAGTTTTAGAAAAACATCCATAAGTAGGCGAAATTGCTGATAACTATGTAACTTAGAGCTCACAATACATTACATGGAAAAGTCCAGGCAAGGAGAAAACAAATTGTGGCTTAAATTTAATAGTCAGTCTAATCCTTAGAAAGTTACATGCATTCTACACTGACATCTTGGTTGAAGTATCAATCGGTATTGGTATTTATTTAATTTATGATTAAACTATATTTATTAAGAGTCTAAGTGATTTATACCTTCCCAACATAAGTTTTGTACCTCACCGAATTCTTAAATACAGATGTGATATAAAATGAAATGATATAATTTTAGGTATTTAGAAATAAATAAATTGAGAGTTGATCAGGTCAATGTTACCGCCGCCATTTTATATCTATGACGATATGAGTGAGAGTTGCTCAAAATGAGTTAATTTATTGTGAAGTTAAAAGATTGTGATAAAACTATATTTTAAGATTTAGAATAAAAACATTATTAAAATGATTTTTTGGTTGTATTTTAATACCCCATAGGCTTTTTTTATTTGGGACTAATCCCACCCACACGCCCACCACTATAACTCCTGTACACCAGGATCCACAGCAGTGACCCACGAACACACCGAGTTATGACACTCGGGAAGTCCAAGGAAGAAATTAAACTGTCTTGGAACCCGCAACGAAATTAATCAGAAGAAAATACCCCCATAGGCTTATATTAAACGTTAAGAAACTAACAAGAACTCTCTACAGAGTCAGAGTCAGTAAGTCTGGACAGAGGAGAACGACCAATGATGTCCCCCTTTGTATGAAAGTATAAGGTAGCCTTTGCCCCCTTTAAAATGCAGTCCATAACTAATTCATAACTGCAAACCCAGATATAAATATCTTGTACGTACAAGACAGCGGCTTTCTTTCATCATCAACACCCTTAAATAGTCGACTGCCTATACCCATATACTTAGGCCTCTCTTTAAAAATAAGGGTTTTGCCCTACTATTCCACGCCGGTCAGACGGGTTGGTGTAGCGTTTGTTTTAAGTTTTCCTTCTCTTTGCCAATTGCCAAAATGGGAAATGTCTGCCAATTAAATGCGTGATCGCGGACTCCTATCAATTATATTATGTTTTGGATTTATGCCCCTCTTGGTCCAGATCTATATTATTGTAATATATTTATAAAGCCCCAATGATCAGGCCAAGAGCCATTAACAACAATGAATTATTATCATTCAAAACCAATGTTGGCTCAGCCACTTCATTGCACACTAAGGCAAAGGGTCGTTGTAAGCTGTATTTATGTAGGTACCTCAAAGATAGAGTTTTTTTAAAGCTTTTTACCTCAAAGTTTATAACATTATAAAATTTTAGGGATAGACAAACTGAGAATGATTTTTATCAGTTAACTTTAATTTTGCAATGAATAAAGTTTAAGATAACTGATGCCTTCATAATATATTCATTTCAGTAAAAGTACACCATACATTTTCAAGGACAAAAAAAAACAGTAATTATAGTTATAGTTTTTTTTAGAAATGAAGGAGATAGGGGTTGATAAATGAAACAAAAATGAATTTTAAACATACATTAGGGAAGATAATGTTACCATTTAGAATACGACAATAATTTCTACAACAATACACTTAATACAAATAATTTCTAAACAACCACAAGTTCTAATAAGAGATCGTGTAATGAGATCATTGTTCAAATTTAACTAAACTTAACCAATACCCTAACAGATGGAGTAGATATTGCAGGAGGTATAAACTTTTCAGCACACGTATATATCTTATAAATGAGTAAGTACATAATAAATAAAAAGTATATTTCTGTTTGTAGGTACACGTAAGTAAAACTACCTAATACTTATGTATCTAATCAAAACTTATTTTCATATTACAATAAATTACCTTAAACCCAAAACGGTTTAAATCATTTTTAGGTCTACTCTAAATCCATTCTGCACAACTCGTCAGATTGGATATAGTGTATTCTGTACAAAGCTCACTTTTTTGCGAAATGATAATTTCAAAAATACATTAGTCATAAACAAATGACTTTTTTAATATATTCAGTTTGTGATAAACTACAACGATTACGATTATCAATACGCACATTTTAAGTAGACCAAGCTGAACATAGCAGCGTAGCACGTCATAATTAACTCTATTGTGCCTCAATTGTGGCAAGAGGTGTAGCCGCGAAGGACTTTAGCAGGCTCTTATGTGCGTATCATGTCAAAAATAACTGGATCACACAACTACTATTTTTTTTTCCTTTGGCTTTAGCTTTATTACATATGGAATTACTTTTGGATTTTTTCTTTAGCTTCAAAGTATTGCGTTGTTAAGACAAAAGTACCTAGCACAATACAAACTGCTGTATTGAATGACGAATATTAGGCACAACACATTTCTCTTCTGTTCTCTTATTTTAAATAATTGTATAATCAATAATTATATTCTTAATTACTATTTTCAAATTAGGGTATTACGCTGAGCAACTTACTACTTAATTCTTAATATATTTTATGTGAATGTTTTATTAGGAAAAAAACTATTTGGCAATGTTTATTTTTGGTTATTTAAGACTGTGATAAGAACATTTTTGGTATATCTTAACCTATATTTAGATTAGAAAATGAATCTATTATAATTACATACTTCGTGAAAGCTCTTGCAATTCAGAAAGCTTTTCTTTATGAAATAATGTAGTAAAAAAAAAATTAAGATTTTAATATACCTTATAACACGCACAAATTACATTTTTTACTCTAAATATAGCAATATATTATATAGCATAAGTAAGTATTAAAACTAGGTGTATCTACTACTCTAGTTTAACTAATATTATCTGTTGCTGGCGTGAAAGCGAAGTTCTGAGAGCGTTAGTGTTGGTTGAAGAAGTTTTACGTAGAAAGGCTGACATTATTTTAGATATCTATTTATGCATAGATGTCTATTGTTCTTTACCAATACGGGTATAAGCATCATCTTTGGAAGAATTGATTGTGGGATCACGTTATCGGTTTTCCTCTACACAATATTCACCTTTCGCCATTTGTAGACTGACTACCCATTACATAATTTTGATTTTAACATTTAATTTTATTTAAAAAACATTTATTATAATTCAATAATGGATTCAAATATATGGTAAATTATTAGAGTAGGTATTTATATACACACTAAAGAAATTGTAGGCCAGTTTGGAACTGAATTGCTGGTATCATGCGATTTTTCTTAAATTTAATTTTTTTTAATACTATTACTACCTACTTAATTAGTATCAAGTAACATAGAACAGTAACACATCGTTAATATATTTACATAATTTGCCTAGAATAATATGGATATTAGTATCTACCTACATTACTTTTCTTTTTAATTTTCTGAATAGTCCATTATCTGTTGAAATAGTGTTAGAGAGAGTTTAGAACGAATTATTTAATTTGGGTACTATTAATGGCTTTGTTTCTTTGAAAAGCTGAGCTTAGGAACTTAAAAAAAGCGACAAAAATTATGTACAGCGTCTATAATATTAGGACTTTGAAAGCAAATCCTTAAATATGAGTCTAATCAGTAATTGACAAATCAGTGCATCCGTGCAAGTAATACCTTATCTAATTAGCACTAGCTTATCTTATCTAATCTTTATAATTTCTTTTGGGAAAATGATCTTGATTTAAACATTTTAATTGAAAAAGAAAACCCAAATTAAATTGAAGACTCCCTCAAACAGAAACTACAACAAAAACCAAACCTATGTATAAAACTTATAAAATGTATTGTCTTATTTTGATAGAAACAAATGTTGCCGGCAGACATATAACCTAGCCCTAAAAAAACTTTAAAACAGTTATACAAAACACAGCTTTTTGATCTTATATGGCATAATTACTTTGATCTTAAGATCTCTTTTGTAAGGAAATAAATACCTTTCCGGACCTTTTACTAGTTTTAAAAATAGGTTGCAATGGTTGCTTTTAATTGTAATAGTTAAAAATAAAATATATGGACAGATAAATATTAAGTAAATTGAAGATTTTATCAATAAACCTGTATGTTTTATAGGTTACACTTTCTTTATCTTATAATAATAATATTATCAGTACACCTATGTACAATACTTATAAAATGTATTGTCTTATTTATTTACAGCTAGCGGTCGCTTTTTCAAGCTTTATTGTCACCACAGCCTTACAGAGTGAGATCACCCCTTTTATTGTCTTATCACCTAAGTTCACTATGTCAACTTTATGCCTATTCTTTACAGTATATATTTATTTATCATATAAAATAGAGTAAAAAATCAGAACAGAGAATAATCATGAAATGTAAATATACTAAAAATATTGGCAGTTTTTTGCCAAATTTATATTCGAATTTTTTAACAAATGATTGAAAATGAGTTGAGGCTTTATTTAATTTAAAATTTGAGTTGATCTAGCATTTTAAGTTTCAAGAGTCAAAGTTATTCACAAGTTAGATATTTTGAAATGAAACTAGTTCGTTCTATACTCTATGTACTAAATCGTTCATTCGTTACTTTGAATGGTGCTCAGCAACAAGTGCGTGGGGGATATGTACCCTTGCCGCCATAGCATTGGACATTGTGAAAATTATCATTACAGCTACAG